GTACCTGCTTATATTCGGTATTTTGATGATTCGTTTCACAGTTCTCACCAGAATTGTTTAAAATTTGGTATTTAGATTAATAGGTGCAACTTCCCACGAAAGAGAATTTCCTGTAGAGATACACACCTTTGTATAGCTCCCCTATAACTGCACTATAGGTTTATAGTGCACAACTGTAGACTGGTCGAATGGATTATGTTTAGGACAAGGCTGAAGCATACCATTTTGGATGGTCATTCGAAAATATTTAGTGGGTGATATGCCACAACTTCCAAAATCTTAATTCAACCGCAAATCTTTGTAATTTAGAAAACTAATTTCCAACGAAATCTCTAAAATATAAAAGGGAGACATCTGGCCTTATAATGGATTCTGGTTTCAGACTTATACAGTCTGAAATCGGAGATATAGCAAAATCTACAGATAAAAATAGCTTTTCAAATATTGTTTCGAATTCCAATAAGTAAAACATTGGCCCCATATAGTCACAGATGTTGGCATTGTATTGTAGCTCTGTTCATATTCAAACAGAATAATAAAGCCAACTATAACGTTAAAATAAGATTTTATTAAATAATTTGTAACAGCTTAAAATCGATCCTGGTATTTAGAATGATTCTCAAAGTATGGGATTCATAATTTCAAGTTAAAAGGGTTTAAGATCCACAGAGGCTTTACGTAAAATAAAGTTTTGCAGGGTATTCCATGGTCGGTCCCTCCAGACTGTAGTCATTTGCTTGACCCAAGGACGAAATTGGAGATAATCGATAATTTTGCACATCTAATGCACAATTAAATTAGGCCTGGAGATAAGTATGCCAAATTTGATTGAAATCGATTCAGATATAGCTACAGCTCCCATATATATTGATCATCCGATTTGTTATTTTGGTCCTCCGCAGCCGTAATATTCAATCTGTAACAACGATATTTGGGATAATATATTAAATACAGCTCAGAAATACCTTTGCTAAATTTAATCGAGATCGGTTCAGATTTGGATATATGTAGCTCCCACACCATCACCACGGCCGGCGCTTGAATTCTGGTGGCCAACCGAAATTGCACATTTTCAGCTGACCTCTTTGGCAAGTAAACACGATCATTTTGTTTGTTTACAAACTGCTGGACAACGAATGTTTTCTCATCGGAGAAAACCAAAATCGGCTGTTCACCACTTTCGACCAAGCGAAGCAACTCTTTAGCCCTTTTGAGTCTATTTTCTTTCTGTAAGTTGCACTTTTTGGAATTTCAATGGCTTTACCCCTAGCTCATTTTTCAATATTTGCCGAATGAAATATTGCGATATGTTCATCTCACTAGCCATTTTCGACCACTGCGACGCGGGCTTCGATCAAGTCGCTTCTTTACTTTTCGAACCATTTCAGCTGATGTTGCTGTTTTCTTCCGTCCACTTCCTTGACGTCGGGCTACACTACCAGTATCACGGTAACGAGCGATGGTACAAGTTGTAAAAGATTACATTTAAATGCTGGAATGCTCTAACGATAGCCACTTGTGGTTTTCCAGCCAAATATATAGAAACCACACTATCACGCTTGAATTCCATCACGAATAACTTTTTTTCTGGAAAATTCTCACCAAAATTCTTTTTGTACGCTTGTGAACAATATAACGAGCTGTCACTGGAATGATTTTAACAGGACGAGTGGCTTAGAAATTACAGCAGTCTGAGATGGGTTGCAGTTTTTTAATCTATTTTATGTATATGATGCATACAGAGGGTCCGTTAAATTTCATTGAAATTTAGAATAAGTGATGGAATTTGGTAGAAAAATAGATTTGTCAAATTATATAGAAATGCATTGATTTTTGGATATAGCTCCCAAATACAAACTCTTCGTGTATGCGCACTAAATTTAGCATGTTTTTGCTTTTCTCATTGCACGTGGAATGTTCACGCGAGGGTACCCCTATCGATTTGCCTGTTTACTCTCCTGAAGTAAACACAAATATTTTATATACTAAATCAATACCATACTTATATGAGCGAGATCTGTGATTATTACTGTGCTTTAAAAATATGGATTAAATACTAAAACTACGGTAATAATGATCAAATGGACCTATTTTGACTATTTTCTTCCGGAGGGCTATGTGGGGAATTCCATGGCATTTCAGTAAAACATAAATGTATAAAAATGCATGGGAAGATTTTATCTTGGCATTAAATCTATTTGTGTTTTATGACCTATTAAACCTGAAAAAATCAGAAAAAAACAATAAAAACTAAATTACGTCAAATTATTAGTTAATAAAATAATTTTCTATATGAATTTTTAACGCAATAGCCTTAAAATTATAGTTATAATCAATGCCATATTGAACAAGTAAGCAAAAGCTATAGACGTGCGGGGCCGACCATATGATACCCTGCCACACTACAATATGTCCATTGTGGAAGATTTCGCTTTTAAAATTATGTCATGGAGCACTGTCCAGATATTACCCTTAGCATTTTGACAAGGGACATTTGCCCAATATTTACGCACTCCATCGTGCTGTTAGTTGTTGTGGTCCATTTTACAGCTACATATACCAATGGTTATCCAAAATGCTAGAATTCTTCTCTGTTCTTAACTCTCTTCAATTGTGTGACCAGGAAATTTTTTCTGTTTTTGGTTCATTTGAACCCCTAAATATTTTGCGATCAACTCCAATAGCAAGAGGCTCATCTGTATCACCAAATTTAAACTCATCTATATGATTTGATTGTCTACGATATTTGGCTTCATTCATCAACGACATCAGCACAAAAAAGCCAGAATTTGTAAGAAATGTTGGTTTTTTTTACGCACCCGCTATCCTAAACTCGAACTTCATGCGAGATTTCCTTTGGATGAAATTTGTTAACTTTATAACGGCTGCAAAATCAGGAACATATTTAGTTGCTGGTCCATTTCAACCCCTAAATATATGCGGACAACTTGAAAACCATAGGCCTAGCCATTCTGAGCTAACCCTACCCTTTTTCGTGATGATAATTGCAATCTGTATATAATAACCCCAACATGTGTTGTAATATGAAAAAATATTACAAAATGTACAATTCAATATTATAAGTCAAATTGAAAAAATCGCATGCGATAAAAAATATGAAAAAATACTACAAAATCTATATTGACATCATTATAGGCATCTTTTTATGCGATTTTTTAAGATTTTATACTTTTATGTTAAGAGGGCATTCTGAATTGACAAAATTTGTCGATATCGGTTTAGCCAATCTTGAGATATAAGCATTCTAGCTAACATCCCCTACTTTCTGTATATACATTGCACATATTTCGCTATATATATCCGATATATTTACTATCGGCATCTAAGTAACGGTCAGAATTGATCTGTTCGTCTATTTGTGATTTCGCCGGGATTAAAAATATTCGCGGATTAATAGAAAATTTGAAATTTATATAACAAAAATGTTATGGTCTATTTCACCCACTAAATGTTATCCTGATCATCAAAATTGGAAGGCTTCTGCCCAGCCCTGAGCTCAAGCACCATGCTTACTTCCGCTTCGATTGGTCTATAATTGTAGAGCAGCTGCAAAATCATAAAATTTTTCTGTTTTTGTTCCATTTCAACCCCCAAATATTATGCAATAATCTCCAAAAGCAATAGGGTTCTATTCTGGCCCTACCCCCACCTCCATTCTAAATTTCGTGAAGATCGGGCCATAATTGCGACCTGTAGAGTGATTACAAATGAACATGGACAGACGGACATACATAGCTAGATCGACTCAGCTCGGCGAGATCCATATATACTTTCTATGTGGGAAACCAATATTTCGAGGTGTTACATAATTTTTGGTCCAATCAAACTTATAATACCCCCAACACATAGTGTTGTCGGGTATAAATATTACGAAAACCATAAAAATATCAAATATAGGGATGTAATATTATATGGAGTTACATGAAATCGTGGTTCATTATGACTTAATTGCAATTAAGTACAAAAAACTAAATATACCTCCTATAAAATAGCGAAGGATAAGAACTAGGATAGATATTCAAGTAACTCCTTTCAATTAAAATGTTTTTAAGGGTTTAAGGATCATTTTATATGCAATTTAAGTTTTTTTTTTTACTTCACATTGGCAATAGTGAAAATTTTGCTAAGCGTAGAGAACCACTAGATTCAGTTGAAATATTTTGACTTGGTTATATCTCCGAAACAATAAAATAAACTGCTTTGCAATACTTTCCGGTATTGGCGATTTCTATTCAAAAACACATAGAGCTCTGCTTTTGAAAACACTTCCTTCTCATTATCATTTTATTTCCTAATAATATCAGTGACTCAAATTGTTATGCGAATAGAACACATTTTATACAAAGATTAAATTTCCCATTAATATGTGTCGCTTAAGTACCGGAAGTGAAGAAATCATTTCATACAAAGCCTTTAACGCCCATCATGGAGAACAATAAAAACAAATTTGATGAAGAACATAAACTAAATTAGTATTCGATGTGTTTTTTGTTTTTATTACTGGCGAATTCAGTAGTGTAGACAAATCTGAAAATTCATTATTAAATGAAATTTATTAAAATATTCATTCATTCGTTTAGTCGAACAAAAGTTTTTAAAATTATTTGAAGGCAAATTTACAACAACAAGGAAAGGGGCTTCGCTTTCGTACAAAGTGTATTGGAAGCAAAAACAAATAAATAAAAGAAATATGTTAGGTCAAATCGAGAAGAATTTGATGTCACAAAAGTGACTTCGGTGGCGGCAAAGTTCAAAAAGGGAATTCAAACATTCTAAGTTATTGCTCTGGTGAACTTGAAGTCTGATTAGTTTAAATTATTTGTCAGATAATTTTGCAAATTTCCTTCAGAGACGCCGCTGAGGCTATCGGAAATGGAGTTAATGCCACAAAGTAACTATAAATTGCTGGGCATGTTTCTGAGAACATCAAACCAATTCAACACAGTGTCTCATTGAGTACTAAAAAATTTGCGAACAAGATGCGTGCATTCATTGTAAGGACCTATTGAGAAAAAGTGTGACAAAATATGTTTTCTAAATCAACAATTCTGGATTATATTTTAAGGTCCTGTGCTTAGTGGCTGCTGCCTGCGCTCAATATAACTACCAACCTAGCGGTGGTGTTGGAGGAGGTAGCGGTCTTGGCGGAGTTGGAGGTGGTAGTGGTCTTGGCGGAGTTGGAGGTGGCAGTGGTCTTGGCGGAGTCGGAGGTCCTGGCGGTTTTGGCGGAGTTGCTCCTGCCGCTACCCCTTTGGGTGATTTCCCCGTAGCTGGCAATGACGCTGCTTCCGTAGGCCCACAGGGTGAACTTGAAAAGGAATTCTACACTTTCACCGCCAACGATAATGATTTCAATGATCCCTCCGCCTCCAACCAATTGGCCAATTCAGTTAAGCAAGGTCTCCGTGTCATCTTCATCAAGGGCCCCGAAAACAATGGTTTGGAAGATGCCGCCTTGGCTTTGGCCAAACAAGCTGCCCAACAAGAAACCGCCATCTATGTCCTCAACAAGCAAGCCGATCTCAGCGACTTGGCCAACAAACTCAACAACATCAACACCGGCAACAACAACAAACCCGAAGTTCACTTTGTCAAATACCGCACACCTGAAGATGCTGCCAATGCCCAACGTGCCATTCAAGGTCAATATGACTCTTTGGGCGGCAAATCCCAAAACTTCAACGGTGGTGTTGCCCCCGTCCTTAACTTTGCCTCTCAACCCGAAGTTCGTGCCCCAGCTGGTGCCGCTACTGCTCCTGGTGCTTCTTACTTGCCCGCATCAATTTTCCGTGCCTAAGTACGATTTCGATTAGTCCCTAGGGACTGGATTCAAACGGACTGATATTATTAAAAAAAAAATGTTGTTGATTGTTATAACTGTTAATATTGTTGAAAATATAAACGATTAATTTTATTATTTTAAATGGTGATTTTTAATGTAATTTATTAACAATGATTTTAAACAATGGTAAAATATTCAGAGATTCGAAGATGAAATCCCTACTTAAATGATATTTCATTTGCTATTGCTAAAAATGTATAAAATGGTAAAAATCTGAAAAATAACGAACGTGGTACAACGGGACCCATGCATAAAATGTTCTGCCACCAGAGATAGAATCCGTTAAAAAACAAAAAAACTGAACATCAATTTGGGACAATTCCGATGTAAAATTTTGCTAAAATCATCATCATTATATGGGGGCTACACAAAAACGTGGACCGATATATCTCACTTTCAATTTGCAAATTATGTGCACGGTATCGTGATTTTAACAGGCAGACATACAAAATCGACATAAATTCTTTGTCTCTTACCATCGCTCGTTACCATAATACTGGTAGCGTAGCCTGGCGTCAGGGAAGTGGAGGGAAGAAAACAGCATCATCAGCATCACCGAAAAATGGCTCGTGAGCTGAACTCATCGCAATATTCCATTCGGCAAATATTGAAAAACGAGCTCGTGGTAAACCCATTGAAATTCCAAAAAGTGCAAGAACTTACTCCTTTCTGGTTTTCTCCGATGAGATAACATTCGTTGTCCAGCAGTTTGTAAACAATCAAAATTATCGTGTTTACTTGTCAAAGAAGTCAGCTGAAAATGCGCACCTTCGGTTGGCCACCAGAACTCAAACGCCGGCCATGGCATCAGAATAAATGCCGAATATTATCGCGAAAATAATTGGAAGGTGTAGTAAAGCCTTGGGATATTTCAACAGGACTCAGTGCCATTACGCTCAGCACGCGCCATCCAAGAATGGTTACATCTCCAGCGCACAATGGCGATCACCACAATGTCGATTACCTCAAGCAAGCGCTTCGCCGGGAATGGGCCAAAATACTGCAGAGCAACTTTCGGGCAGCGTGTGACGGTTTCATTGGCCGTTTGAAGGCCATAATTCGCGCCAAAGGTGACCAATTCGAAAAAAATCTAGACTTAGTCTACAATTTGATGCTATTTCGACATTATTTGCTTTCATTCAATAAAATTAAAAAAAAACAAGTAAGCAAAGGCTATAGTCATGCGGGGCCGACCATGTGATACCCTACAACACTACAATATGTTAGAAGCCCCCTTATGTCCAAATCCATTTTGGAAGATTTCGCTTTTGAAATTATGTGACGAAGCACTGCCCAGATATTACCCTTAGCATTTTGATCAGGGACATTTGCCCAATATTTACGCACTCCGTCGTATTTTGCGATAATCTCCAAAAGCAAGAGGCTCCTCTGTATCTCCAAATTTAGACTCTTCTATACGATCTTCTTGTCTACGATATTTGGCTATATTCGTCAAAGAAATCAGCAAAAAAAAGCAGAAGTTCGCATTTTGTGTATTTCGGCTATCGCCTGTAAGTATTGGTATTTTTCAGACAAAAGTAGTGGTCCATTGTACACGATGTCCTAAACTCTCTTTATGACCTTTATAACGGCTGCAAAATCAGGAAAATTTTTAGTTGTTGGTCCATTTCAACCCCTAAATATATTGCGGACATCTTTGAAAACAATAGGCCTAGCCCTTATGAGGATCGGACGATAATTGCAATCTGTATATTATATCCCAAACCTGTGTTGTAAGGTGGAAAAATATTACAAAATGTACACCTTAATATTATAAGTCAAATTGAAAAAATCGCATGCGATAAAAAAAATGAAAAAATAAAAAATGTCACAAAATACTAAAAAATCTATATTAAGACCCTATTTGACTTATTTTTATGCGATTTTTTTAGATTTTATACTTTTATGTCAAGAGGGCATTCTGAATTGACAAAATTTGTCAAAATCGGTCCAGCCATTCTTGAGATATAAGAATTCCATCTAACATTCCTTTCCTTTGTATATACACATTGTATATATTTCGCTATACATATCCGATATATTATTAACGGCATCTACGTAACGGTCAGAATTGACCTGTTCGTCTATTTCTGATTTCGCCGGGACTAAAAATATTCGCGGTATAATGGAAATTTGACTTTTATTTATCACGAATATTATAGTCTTTTTCACCCACTAAATATTACCCGATGACCATCAAAATCGGAAGGCTTCTGCCCAGCCCGAAGATTTAGCCCCGTGCTAATTTCCGCGTCGATTGGTCCATAATTGCGACCTGTAGGGCAACTGCAAAATCATGAAATTTTTCAGTTTTTGGTCCATTTCGACCCCTTAATACTGTGTGATCATCTCCAAAAGAAATAGGGTTCTATTCTGACCTTATCCCCACCTCCATTCTAAATTTCGTGAAGATCGGGCCATAATTGCGACCTGTAGGGTGATTACAAATTAACATGGACAGACGGACAGACGGACGGACGGACATACATAGCTAGATCGACTCAGCTCGCCGAGACAGGAAGATCCATATATACTTTCCTATGTGGGAAATCAATATTTCGAGGTGTTACATAATTTTTGGCCCAATCAAACTTATAATACCCCCAACACAAAGTGTTGTAGGGTATAAAAAACAAATAAAAAACATTAAGTTCGGCCGGGCCAAACTTTTAATACCCTCCACCTTAGGGTAAAAGAAACATTAGAAGAAATGTGGCAAAAACCATTAAAATGCCGAATATCGGGAGGTACCGTTTTTTGGGGGCTACACCAAAACGTGGACCTATAATTACAATATTTCGCTACACAAACTAGGACCCATTATGACCCACAAATACCAATTTTTAGACAAATCAGTGAAAAAATGTGGCAAAAACCATCAAAATACCGAATATCGGGATGTACCGTTATATGGGGGCCGATATGACCAACAAATACCAATTTTCAGATAAATCCGTGAAAATATGTGGCAAAAATCATCAAATTACCGAATATCGGGAGATACCGTTATATGGGGGCTATACCGAAACGTGGACCTATAATTACAATGTTTCGCTACACGAACTAGGACCCATTATGACCCACAAATACCAATTTTTAGACAAATCAGTTAAAAAATGTGGCAAAAACAATCAAAATACCGAATATCGGGAGGTACTGTTATATGGGGGCTATACCAAATCATGGACCCATACAGGCAATGTTTCGCCACCGGAGCTGGAACCCATTATGACCAACAAATACCAATTTTCAGACAAATCCGTGAAAAAGGTTGCAAAAATTATCAAATTACCGAATATCGGGAGGTACTGTTATATGGGGACTATACCAGAACGTGGACCGATATATCTCATTTTCAATACCAACCATCCTACATACAATGCAAATAGCTCTGCTAAATTTTCGCTCTACGTCAAATAATGTGGGCTGTATCGTGATTTCAACAGACAGACGGACAGACAGACAGACAGACAGACAGACGGACAGACGGACATCGTTAAATCGACTTAGAATTTTATGCTGATTATGAATATATATATTTTATGGGGTCTAAGACGAATATTTAAGGATGTTACAAACGGAATGACAAAGTTAATATACCCTCCTTACCAAGGTGGAGGGTATAAAAATGTACAAATTATTACCCTGTAGATATCTGTAAAACTCAAGAAGTTTCAAATGTTTTACTTGGAGTTTGTCATAAATCAACCAAACAGTATATTGGGTTTATGGAGCATTTCATTTACCTTAAAAACATGCTTTCTGCACAGTAATCTAGCACCGATATGACCCTTCACAGTTTGTGTTGGAAAACCCAGTTTTTAATTGGCAGACCCATATTTCAATCGATAACTTAAGATGCGTTTTTTCGATTTTTCGAAGATACATTTTCTTACATGTGTCACATTTTCTAATAAGTGAGCGATACGACCAAACGAAGATCTTGAGACAAATTTATATTTTTTGTCTCTTACTGCATCGATTTATTTTCATATGCACTAGATAATAGGAGGAATATCATGTTTGCCTAAAATTTATTTCACATGTCTACTATTATTAAAACAAGTAAGCAAAGTCTATAGTCGTGCGGAGCCGAACATGTGATTCCTACAACACTACAATATGTTAGAAGCCCTCTTATTTCCAAATCCATTTTGGAAGATTTCGCTTTTGAAATTATGTCACAGCACAAATATTGCCCTTAGCATTTTGATCAGGACATTTGCCCAATACTTACGCACTCCGCCGTGCTGTTAGTTGTTGTGGTCCATTTTACAGCTAAATATAATCCAATTGTAATCCAAAATGCCAGAATTTTTCACTGTCCTTAACTCTCTTTTCAGGAAATTTTTTCTGTTTTTGGTTCATTTGAACCCTTTAATATTTTGCCATCATCTCCAAAAGCATGAAGCCCCTCTGTATCTCCAAATTTAGATTTAGATGACTTGCTTGTCCACGATATTTGGCTATATTCGTCAACGAAATCAGCATAAACCAGTAAAGAAAGTTTTAAAGGCGGACGGGGCCGACTTTATGATACCCTACACCTCTTTGCTGATTTAGTAGAGCTCCGCATAACAATTAAACGTTTTTATGGGAGAATTCAATCATACACGCTATGATTATAATTATAGTTTAAAGTTTAAATAATTTAAAATCGGATAAAAATATATATGGGGGTTATATCCAAATCTGAACCGATCTCGATAAAATTTGGCAAAGATATTTCTGAGCTGTATTTGATATATGTCCCTGAATATCGTTGTTACGGAGTGCATATTACGGCTGTGGGTAACAAATATAACAAATCGGATGAATAATATATATGGGAGCTATAGCTATATCTGAACCGATCTTCACCAAATTTGACATACTACCTTCTAGACTCAATTTGATCGTAAGTGCCAAATTTCATCCCATTTGGACAAATATTAGACGTTTGGTGCACAATAAATGGTAAATCGGACGAAGTTACATATGGGAGCT